GCGCCGGTCGAAGAGCTGGCCTGGAACTTCAGCGGCTGCTCTTGAGCTGCTCTGTGGAAGTCGCTGGCACTGTGATGGGTCTGATTCCGCTGGGGGTTTCCTTCACGGTTGGGTGTGGGGTGGGGGGGGAGGGTGGTGAGCTTGGCTCTTCCCCTGTGGATCTTAAGGTTCAGTCTTCTGCACCTTGTTGGCTGGGTGGCACAGGGATGAAGTACAGACCGGGCTGTGGATGGGGCCTACAGCTTCCGCGCAGCTTGGGTTCAGCAGCTGGGCGATGCAGGTCATTACTTGGAAAAATCTGGCCTCCCAATTAGAAAAAATGTAAGAATTTTTAATCTCGTCCATGGCATTATTTTCCTGCATTCCAGTCGCAGACTCCCGCTTTGTTTAGCCACTAAAACCCCCTCTCCCTTGGGAATGTGGGTGTGAAAAGGTAGGGTGTTGCCTGCCTCACAACAACAAGCCTCGCGCCTGTATTCTAGTTACATTCCTGTGATCGAGATACCTTTCAGGTTTGAGCAGAGAGGCCCTTTATGTCACCAGCACTGGGACACTGCAGGGACAAGGTGATCAAAGCAAACCGTGCTCAGGACTTGTGTATAAAGCTGTCTCAATGCCTATATGTATATCCCCCAAGCTGTACTTCACAGTTACAGTAGCCACGGTATGCAAAAGGCCCATCCTAAGTGTCTCTGGCTGTGTAATATTGAAAATGTCTGTGCCCCTAGCTGAAGAAACCCTCTAGTTATATCAAATCAATAAAGCTTCACCAGGTTTACCTTACTATGAAAACAATATTACAGTGAGTACCAAATACATTGTTTCAGATTCCAAAGGGATGTGAATCTTAAACTAGTTTTGATGAAAAGACCAAGCATCCTTGCTTTTATTGAGTACACCACGTTTATATCTTCCTTTATTATGTATTGTTCATATACATACAGCTCATCCGATATCTTTCCTGCGAAGCCTGAAACCTGCTTAAGGTTCCCTTGTATTATGTACATAAATAGTATGTATGCTAATATGTTTACCAGTTATGTAGTAGGAAATGCATTGTGCGTGTTTATAAATTGCATTTGCAAATTTGTCTGTAGCTACTTTTTATTAAGTGTAAGTCAGAAATAATGTTGTTTTTAAAAGTTGCAAGAGGAGGACTCTTTCACTTCAGTTGACTACAATGGAATATGCTGTCCCTGAGTCTTGATGACATTCTGTTTTCTTGGTGGTTCTTCTTAAGGTCTCATGTATTAGTTGTTCCTATTATCTGACAAAAAAAAGGCTCGAGTATTAGTTTCAAGAGGTTCCTTTATAATGGTAATTCAGTCTTTGCCTTCTTTTTCTTTTACTGCTTTCCTTGCCGGAACGATAAAATTGATGAGAGTATCCTAACAATGCTGCTTGAAGCATAACTTTGGGAGGGATTGTAATTAGATGTATGATCTAAGATGCACTAAATTTTAATATTTATGCAATTTTAAAAGTATATGAAATCACACATTTTAATCTATATATTTTTATAGCTCTTTTTCTACGAGGTGTTTATATGTTCCTAACAGCCATTCATTTTACTGTGTGGAACTGAACTCGAGTCGGTAGCCAAAATAAAACTTATTTCTTTAGGGGTAGCCGCTCGTTAGTTTGAATGCATACTTCAGCACTGGGTCAGTCCAGGTTTTCAACAGTGTTATCTACGGTAACAGGGTGATAATACATAAATTACTCAATGAGGTCTGGAATTAGCAGCGCTTTACAGTTGTAACACCTCCATGAGCAGAACAGCTTGACAGTGTTGTCTGCAGACAGTGTTGTGGAACCTCTTGAAAGTCTAGTACTCGCTGCAAGCCCATGTAATGAATTACCATGACTTGTGTAGGGGATGATTGTAAGAGTTGGGGGGTGTTAACCCTGGCGTCTTGGCTAGATTCCTCTCTGGGCTTGCACAGTCTGGCCCACCTCTATTAGCCTGTGAATTCAGCTGGTGAAGCAGTTTCTCACTTCCTCACCTGATCTGCTGTGAAACAGGGCTGTGGCACAGAATGGCTGCCGCACAGTCCCCAGGTAGGAGCTGTACTTCAGTGTTGGAGAAAGCAGATTTTGGGGTTCCTTGGGATAAGAATTGCTGTATAAATAAACAGAATAACAGCCATAGTAATACTGTCAGACTGCAGCACTTAAACTGTCTCTCCTAAATATTCAGAACTGATGGATATGAAAGGAGATTTGTCATGTGTCTCTTCCTGCAATTTTGCATCTTCCTTGATGTGTAGTTGATGATGTGTTCTGGTCATTTGTTTTGCCAGCTATACAGATGTGGGTGATGCTCACAAGGGCATTTGGAAGGACTGTACAAACCCGCATGGATGATGTTGTGGGGAAGAGTTTTAGTGTTGCACGTGGCCTGCAAGAGTAATGCCTGAAGTGGCATTCTTTATAGCTTTGTGCAAGACGTATTTTCTTCCCCAGTGTACCACTTGGAAATAGGCTTTTACAGATCATGCAAGCGCATTGTTTTTCTGTAGTATTATCGGAGCAGAAGATGCAGCAATGAAGAAGAGTAGTAGGAATCCATAGGTGCTATCTAGAGGGTAATTAAGTGGGCAGGTTGGCTGGAATCTGAATCTGCAGGTGGCGCATATTGACATCTGCCATGTTACTCTTTACCAGTGCATGGTGAACGGCAGAGGCTGTGATGAAGACACTATCATAGATCTTAAGCACTTCTGTTCACCCAGTAGCAGAGTGCAAATGAGTGCTGAACAGTCTTGGCAAACCGGATGCACTTCATATGGTTGGCTCACCGCCACATGGGTGGGAATAATGTAAAAGGCCTGCAGATCCAGCTTCGGTTTCTGTTCTGTGGCAGGAGCTGCTAACATGGAGGAGGTTATATTTTTATTTCCGATCTTGGCCATTTTGTCCAGGAAAGGTATGTATCTTTGTGGGTGATGCAGCGGTCCTTCCTTGTCCTTACGAAGGGGACACTGAGGGGACAGGTGTCCAGACATCGGGCACATGGCTGATAATAGCGCTAGCTTGGAGCCCACAGAACCACAACCACTGAACTCCTGCTCGGGTCTCCTCTGCAGCTTGTCTCTCCTGTGGGTCTCCTTTTCTGATTCTGTACCAAACCTGACATATGGGGTTTGTTAGAAACTCCAAGAATTGGAAACTATGATGGAGAAGAAAATCAAAATTGTGTATATTTGGATGCAAGTTTTTAAGTGCTGTATATCTAATTTTTTAATTGTTCAAGACATATATTCTCATTGGGGGTTTAAGGGCTTTTCAGAGAGAGTGGAAACTGGATTAGGTGAAAGTTACTGAAGTGCAGAGAACTTGTTCAACTTTGACCTGGACAGTATAAGTGACGTTACTCCTCCTCCTGACCTAACCTCTATTTTTCTACCCAGAGCATGCTCAAATTGTTAGTTTATATTGCCCTGTACCTTGTAAATGTGCTTACAAGACCCTTCTCTGCAATGAAATGTGTATTTTCTCCCTTTTTTTCTTTAATTTGTAGTTTGTGAAAGGTGATTAAGATCCTAATGTGTGGCAATGGATGTACATTCAAGCTAAAATATCTGTATGTAGCATTTAATACACAGCACTAACAAATAAACTTTTTTTCATTAATATTGAAAAGAATGTGTATTATTCCAAAAGATGACTTTTACATCTGGCAAGACTTTTACATCTGGTAAGTGTTGGTTTCCAAGAGTTTCTCCTCCAAATCACGTTGTACTGTATCTGGTAAGTATCTGGTAACTAGTGTTTGGTAAGTTAATTGTAGATTCAGTCAAGAATTGTTCTTCAAAATGTTGATTGATGAACAGCAGCAAACCTAACCATGGATGTGCCTGTTCCTAATTCAGCATAAGGTGAAACCTGAATTTTTTTCAAATATTTGTGTGTTTTGTTATGCATCTAGAAATTTTCCTGACAAATATTTTTGACATTCGTGACATTTTATAAGCATGCATCCAAAGATTTTATTTGTGGTGCTTCTTGGGAATGGTGACCTTGTTGCTTTGTGGTGTACTCCGGGCAGCTGCAGACCCCTCTGCCTTGTTCTTGAAAGCACCTCTGTATCCGTTTCCCCATGCCGTGCTCTGGCACAGGATACAATTTGACAAAGACAGGAAAATGCTGGCTATGTAAAAAAAAAAAACTGCCACTAGTGGTGCAGGCTAGCAAAGATTCTCGTGTTTACAGAAGGCAACATGAAGATCATTAAGGTGTTTTGCTGAAGGTGTTGCACAGCACATTCTGTGTGGAGTCTGCATGCCCTCATTGGATGTGTGTGGGTTTTTTCTAGGTGCACTGGTTTACTCCCTCCTTTCAAAGACTCGCACTGACTGGGTTAATCGGTGTCTCTGCACTGTCCCATTATGTGTTAAAGGCCCCTACTAGTCAGTCTGCTGTGTCTAGCCGGCAAAGGATGTACATTTAATTTTAAACTCTTTTTTTTTTTTAAAGTTCATCTATACGTCTAAGGGAGCTTTCAGGACATGATGTCCATTTTTAATTTAAAATTGCTGGAAATCTCACTCCGTTTTCCCACTTGAGACATGGCCTCTTTTCTGCTACTGGCCTACATCTCTTTCTCATGTTGCATCCTACTATCTATATCCCCACTACCACAGCTTGGCTACAGTTGCCCTGCCTCTTGTGGTGCTAATGGTTGCAAAGCCTGAACTGCCCCCACCGTGGAAGAACGGAAGTGATGGAGAGGAGGGCATTTCGACGCTCATACACACTCGGTTCTACTTTAGCCACCTAAGCAGCACTGATCATACTGGGCATGAACCTCCCAACCAGAGAGGGCAATTCTGAGTAGGCAGTCAAACCTCACCTGCGTGCCCATGGGGAGTGTGAGCACATGTGGCAAAATCCCCTCCCTTTGGGCTGCCCCATTGCAGCACGCAGTGAACAGTGCCTCCATGATCAACTTGCAGAACAAGACGCTCCCAATACACAAGGGTTCACAAGTGGAGACGTTCATGATAAACCAAAGTTGATATAATTTATTTGGAAACGCTGCAGGTCGGGGGAGGCGGTCCACAGGCTGCTGCGTCAGTTTCCTGTGGTGGCCTGTCTGAGTCGAGACTGAAGGGTTTCCTGTAAAGACACGCCAGTTGCTTTTCCTCTCCCCGGCCCCTCTATGCAGGCACCCAGTCCTGCTGCTGCCCACTGGAGGCTTTCAGTTTGTTCCAGGCTTTAAGATGCGTTTTCAAAGCCATCTGATGATGGAAGGACAGAAAACATCTTGGAAATTTTGACTTGATTCTGACAATTGAAAAAGGAAATGAGTGCTGCTGTAAAGCAAGCATACTGTACTTTCATTACCTTTTCATTGTGGGCAATCACAATGCGTGTTTTTTGTTCACCAAAACTATTTCCACAGAAATCAATCGAAAGAGAAATCTGCCATATATCCATACAAACATAGAGGAAATTACTTGGTTTTGCATGTTTTACCATTTTCTTACCAGGTTGCATTAATAGATTCTCTAAGTGAATGAGTACGTTTTCTCAGGAGCCAAGAATGAGCATCTAAAACCCCAGCAGTGATATGCATGGGCGTGTGATACAGATGTGATACTGCATCTCACTTGTGCAGCTGTTAAATATGGTGTGGACGTGTCTCTGCTCCAGGACCCTCGATCTTCCCCTGCCTGGCTGTCCGGCAGCGCTCTCCCTGTATTCAGGAGCCCTGGCTCACCTCGGAGATCTCCACCTTGCGCTCCCACACCCGCACGCTCTGCTCCAGCTCGCAGTGCCTGACTTTGCCGTGCACGTACTCCAGGACTTGGGGGACGCGGTAGTCCGACAGCTGGCCGCGCAGCCTCCTGTTCAGGGCCTCGGCTTTGGCTCGCTCCTGCAAGACAGCCGCACGGGCACGGGGTCAGAGCCTACGAGTGAGACTATAGCTCTGGCACAGCCGGTCTGGGAACTGGACTGAGGCCTGCTTCCTCTCACAAGCTGTGGAAAAAGACTGCATGCCCATGAATTGTAGCTGGGAGTACACTGGGGTATCGCCGTTCTAGTTATATCTCTCATTAAATTCAGCATGTTTTATCTCATCTGGGTGGCCTGTTGTCTATTACTTGTCCACTCGTTCTGACCCTGCTTCTAGATGAGTCACAGTCTGCCTGTCCTCGTTCAGAATATCTCTGCTGACAGAGATTCACTGTTCCTACATTAATGCTGTGCACTGACACTGAATGGAATTTGCCATGTGTAGGTCCACTTTGGGTGGGTACCAGTCCTTTCTGATTGACTTTGTTATTGTGACTGCTTTGAAGATTCTCTTGCCACAAGGGAATTTGTTCCATCTGTAACCTCTGTTTCTTCGGCATAAAGTTTTATTTGCACATTAAACATTCCTTGCCTGTCACATAGACCATAACCACTAGAAAAGTACATCTGAAATGACATTTACAGTGTCATTCCCATGACCCATACAGGTTAGCAATGTACAAAGAAGCATCTTGTCACATTGTGACTCCAGCTTCAAAGACAGAGGCCGGAAAACTGGACCCGAAGAGCCATAATATCTTCCTGTTGATGTGCAATGAATCACTAATTTAGGCAGAGTTCATGTGCTTTCCAGGCCTCAGCTCATTGCTTGTTCAATGCTTTCCAGGGTCAGGCATGCCTCTTCTCAACCAGGCACCCAGTCCAGTGTCAATAGATTGAGACCAACACCATGTCAATGGAACTGCAAGTGTTGCTATGGCAAATGCGTGAGAGGCTGTCGTGATGCGAAATTAACCTTAGGCTCAGTTCTCTCTACACCCACCTCCTCTGCCTGCACCGCTTCAGCCTCTATCTTCACTAGCATGTCTCTCCTGGAGGCAATCTCGTTGTCAAGCAGGTTGGACTCATGGGTGGTGCTCTGCAGTTTTTTCTGAAACACACCAGGGCAACAATCACTTCTTTTATTTGAAAGGACCTCTTCGATAGCAAAATACCGACGTGCTTTAAATAAAAAAGGGAAAAGCAGACCAACTTTGTTTTCAGCCATGGAAAAACACTGCACACGGCTTTAGAAATTCATAACATCTTTGAAAAGGTAAGTCTAAATGACGGTAGAGTTTTTAAATGATGTACATGACTTGATTCTCTTATAATCTTGCGCAGGAAATTCCATATCCTGGAACACAGAATGTCCTGTCACCCTGACTGCAGAGTCTAGCATTACGTACAACAAATGTGTGAATCTTTGTAAATGAGAGATGGTCATTTGGCCTGACTAGCTTGTTTTGTTTTTAGCAGCTAATTGATCAAAGGATCTCAATCATCCATAACTAGATAGAAGTCAGGGTATCAACGTCAAAAATATGGCGGGGTAGCTTGTTTCATACTCCCATCATCTCTTTGGGTAAAAAAGTGACTCCTCTTCTCAGTCTTAAGTGCACATCCCCTGAGTTTGAGAGTTGCGATGAAAGACCTCTGGTCCTACAGCCCATCGGACAGCAGGGTGTGGGCTGACCTTGAAGGAGTTGAGGACCTGCAGGGTGCTCCCAGCCAGGAGCTTGAGGCGCAGGAGGTCCTGGTTCCTCTCGTCTATCTTCTCCAGGTACTGGCTGTTCTCGATCTTCAGCTGCTGGAAGTCCACCTCATGCAGAGCCTCACCCATCTCCTCCTTCTACATCAGGCAGAACACACATCAGGGTGACTCGTCTGTCCACACAAAAACACGGTGCACTCGCGCCCGGTTGATGTGCAAACCCTCAGCGGGGTGTAAAAACAAATGTGGAATGTTTCTACTGCATATACATGAATGTTATCCATGTTGAACAGTGTTAACCTAGGTGAACATGTATAAAAAACATCACTATGGTAACTATTAAACTGTAGTGACACGTGCTATACTGTAACAGACTAAAACTTACTAAGGTAATACAATTTAAAAGTGTATTAACATAACAGCATAAAGTGTGTAATAGTAATAACCATAGTAAAGTATGAAGTACTATACTGTTGTTAAGAAAACATGGTAAAATATAGTAAAACTCTGACAATAACCAATATGACAATTTACCATATCAGTAACAAGTATTTCTTAAAATACAATGGTTTCACTAACGTGTAAATGATTCATCTGTACATAGATGATCTGAGATGTTCTTAGCCTATTGTTAACATTGCTATTGGAGCTTCTTACACTGTGTTAAGACAGCCATTTTTCTTGTTTGTGCTTTTTCGGCTTGACCATAAAGAACGTCAAAAAGACTTCAAACACGTGGAGCTCCTACCTGTCTGAGCTGCATTTGTAGTTTCTTCTTCTGCACCTTCAGGGCTGCATTTTTCAGTCGCAGTTTCTCTGCCAGTGTGTCCTGGAAGAGGCAGTCAGGACAACAACAGGAGTAAGGAGAGGGCTACTTCTGTCTGGTCCTGCACACATCCATTTGGCTGAGAACTGCCAATCCTAGGTGCTGCCATTGTCTCAAGGTTAATAAGGTATGTCCTGTTGCCGTGAGTGATACAGTCCCTAGCCTCGAGGATATTCCAACGTGATGTCACTAAGACAGCAGCCTCGAGGACACACTGATACTCTGTGGAATGGAAGCGTGCCAACTTGTACAGTAAAAACCTAAGAGATGAACTGAACAATTAACTAATTAAAGGCATGCCACTCACAGATCTGCAGCAATAACACAAATGCACTATTTTGTGCAAATACCCTGTTTTTTTTCTCTTTTAAGCTGCAGATCAAGGTCCTACTTAATGGCCAGGCTGTTGCATTGGCTGGGACCCCAGTCTTTGTACCCTGCCTGTTCTCACACACGTCCTGTGCCTGCTCACCTTTGCCCTGGTTCTGTCCTCGATATACCGCACTACCTTCTCTGCCCCCATCATGACACCTCTCTTCTCCTGCAGGACCCGGGCGACATCACGCTCAAATTCATACGTGGCCTTCTTTATTTCCACCAGCCGGATATCAGCCTCTTCTGTAGTGGCCTGGGAGGTCAACACAGTAACAAGAAAAAAATGGCAAAAGCCACAAGCAAAGGCATGCAGCTCCACCCCCAGCAAGAGATAAGCATGTTGGAGCTCAACCATGAAAAACTACCATTCAGAGTACCAGCCCAGAGATCCCTGACTTCGACATTCTTAGAGATTTGTGAGAGGAGTCCTGTACACTACTATGCCATAAAATGTTTGTGGTTAACTCAGCATCTCATCTAGCAGATTCTCAAAGCACTGCAGATATCATAACCTAGAGCTGGACATGGCAGCTGTTTCTGTGTGTAAACCGGAAGCACTGATGTTGCACAGCACAACACACAGTGAGAACCAGCCAGGGTCTGTGCAGCCTAGGGGACAGCTGGCACACAGGCGAGTTAAAAATGAGAACTGCAGTCCCAGTTTCTCACACTGGTTATTAAATCTCGGTAACAACATAAAGTCATTGACATTATAGGGGAAAAATGTCGAAATTCTGAATTAAGCACAAATTTGTGAACTTAGTGAAAGTACTGGATGTTGTCATAAACTCACACTCGAGTTCCCACAAATTGTGACATGATGCTGCCCTTCCTGCTCACTATTCACTGTAATGGCTAATGTAATGGGATGTACCAGTGAATACGTACAGGTTGTGCAGCAGACATTTTACCGCAGAAATGGAAATCTGATGTTCCATAAAATGTCTACAATGTGCAGAGTTTAACAATTAAGTTGAATTTTCAGCAAACTGTCTCGAAATCGAGAGCAGTATTTCTATTGGCTTTAGAGATGTATTCACAAGCCGGCTTCTTTACAATGTAATGGGGCCGCTTCACCTCACCAGAGTTTGGTTGCCTCCTTCTAAATCGCAGATCATGGTGCTGCGCAAACGTAGACATGGGATCTATTTTGTGCAGAAAATTGGAGGTTTACACGCTACTGTGTACATTGCACTCTAATTGTGGTTTGAAATGCGCTCATCCATGCAGATTCTAACAGCGGACTCTGAAAATAGCGTTACATCTCCCTCCCGCTTTAACTGCGCCCAGCTCCTACCCTGTAGTTGTTGAGAACTCGCTCCGAGGCCTCTTTCAGTCTGCCCAGGTCCTCTCTCGTCTCCTCCAGCTCCCGCTGGGCCACGTCGCACTTCTGCTCCACCGTCAGTCGCTGCAGCCGCTCGGCCGTGAACGAGCGGCTCTTGGACTTGCTCCGGCCCCGGGCCTGGCCCTGGCCCTGCGGACGAGACCGAGCCGCGTCAGGGCCAGCCGTGGGAAGCGCTGGCTATGACGACGGCGGGCCTCTTCTCGTTCCACGAAACGCGGCGGGTTCACGCGTGTCAGGACAGACAGATGTACCGTTTCATTACTGTCCCGAAGCTTGGGGGCAACGTTCGCAGAGTCCCTCGTGTGTGTTGTGAAAGACATCACATTGATGCCGACAGCTTGTTTTCACTGACTCAAAATGTGCCAGGAACTGAATAAGAAACCTGAATTCTCCAGCGCTTGCTAGGGGTTTGCGTGCCCTGCGCTCTCTCAGTAGTGCTCTTTTTGATGGCTTCTGGTTACGTTGTTCTTTATCGTCTTAATTCCATATATGTTGTCAATTCTACTAAAAACTGCCTCCAAAAATACCCCCCAAAATTTAAAAAGTGTGTGTGAATGTACCACAAGTACATGATGGTGTCCTTGTACCTCAAGGATAAGGGAAAGAGAAAGTTAACGTTTTTCAGACAGCTTTGCAGTTGTGATAATCTCTATGTGCAGCAAGCAGCCCTTCCCTGCAGCAACAGCAGCACTGGTCCCCAACACAATCCACGGGAAATGCTTAAGGTGAGAATGGAAAAGTAAAGTCATTAAAAAATAAAGAAGAAAACCGAACAAGACGTCTAGAGTATGAGATCTGGGCTCTGACATCCCTAAAATGACACATCTCGGCTCACTGACAGGTGCTGCTGTAAGATCGGAGACAGACCCAAGTAACCCCCCCCACTGCGGCAGAGACAGCCGGGGCGCCCCACACGGGCATGTCCACCATACCTGGGTGACCTCCGCCTGGGACACGCCCAGGGTGGGCTCCGCCGCGGCCGCCGGAGCCAGGTCTTTGGGGTCCAGGCGGCTGATGTACCTCTGGAACATCTCCGTCTCGGCCTTGAGGACACCATTGGAGCGGCTGGCGACACAAGAGGCAGGACAGGGGCTGCTCACGCGTGCGTTCTCCGGTGTTAGGAAGTGACTCTCAAGCTCAGCGACCTCACGCTACTGGTTTCCTACCCGTAGCGCACTTTTACGTCCTTCTGCCCACGTAGGCGTCATAAAGTATCTATCTATTGCAAGACGTGCTGCGTATTGCGGTCACACATGTGTCGGACGGGATTTAGGTCAGAATTACCGGATACGACACCGGTGCGGTTATAAGGCCCTCAACCGTTTAAACACCTGTTTTTGCCGTTTGGCGCAGCTCACTTTCATTTGCCTAGTGTTAGTCTACACAGTACCCGAGTTGTGCGCATTTTCCTGGTTACACGAGTCATCGGAAGCTGAGGTGCAGTCTAGAGATTAGTCGAGCACCTGTCCTTGCCTTATCGTTCGTACCTTGCCTTCACTCTTGCATGCAAAGTTGAATTAGAATGCTCAGCTAGTATACAGTTCAAAAGAAAACACGACATCTCAAAGAAGTGATTTTTAAAAAATAAGTGTGCATGGAATTATGTGCTCCTAACCAGAATAGTAGGATAGACAGACCAACCGCAGGAGCTGCAGGTATTTTGTTTTTGTATTGTGGTATTTCAATGTGAGAGCTTTTAACGCTTGAAAACAAAAGTACCCTCTGAGCCGTCAATCTTGCTCTGGACTAGCTTCAGAAGCTGTTGATCAAGCTATCCCGTGTACATCAGGGTGTACGCCTTATCCGAACTTCCCCTCGTCCACATTTTCCACACCGATTGGTTCTCTCTATTTACAGTACCTGAGTTCTTCTACGAGCAACACCAATTCGTGCGCCCCGAGCTCGGAAAACTCCGGATTGTCGTCTGCCTGGGACTCGCACTCTGCCTCCGCCATGGTTGCCAGGATAAACAAGCGAGGCTGAAGTTGGCAACCAGCGTAGACGTCACACACGGCGCGTGACGTCAGGCGATGACGCCACCGCGGTTTGCAAGACAATTTAGTGTCAATATTGCCGGTCTTTTCAAGTGTTTCCTTATTTCACGATTCATTGTATCTTGTACTCCGGCCCTCCATGACCAGGAGTTAATGTCACTGAATCATACATTACTGCCCCACTGTGTGGGTAGAGAAGATTGCAACTTGAAACAAATAATAGGGACATTAAAAAAATAATGTGTCGCTATACATCAATAAAATCGGTCGATACACGTCACTTATAAATAATGCCACACCTTTGCAATAGCAAGCAGGTTTCCAGGTAACAAACAACAACGTCTTATTCATTTTGAACTCAAATCAGTGTAATATATTACCCTCCATCTTGCCAATATGTAGCATCCAGTGTTAAACTTCCGTTTACGATGCGGGGGCCCTTGCCGCATTAGGTCGGCCCCCCACCGTCGGGGGCTCGAACCCGGGACTTCCGCGTTACTCAACAGGGACCCATCCCGGTGAGCTAAAGAAAAATCCCTCTATACTTTTATACAATGACTCTTGATGCCGTCCATCTGCGCGTTTCTAACGTCTTTACTCCAGAACCTCGAGCTGATATGTCAGGAATGGCGCTGCGTGTATATATATATATTTCATTTCCAGGGCTCCTAAATAGGCCCTTAACCCCAACTGCTCCAGGGGCGCCGTACAATGGCAGACCCTGCGCTCTGACCCCAAGCTTCTCCCTGTCTGTGTGTCTGTGTCTCCTTGGAGAAAAGCTGGGGTATGCGAAAAGACGAATTCCTAATGCAAGAACTTGTATAGGGCTAATAAAGAAACTTTATTAACATTATTATTATTATTAATTGCAGCACCTGCAGACCGGATTCCTCCCTTCCAGTAGGCGGCGGTAAGGTTGGCCACTGACAGCCCGGTAGCGCTGCTCTTGTCAGAGAGAGGATTATACTATTGCGTGCAAGGTTGCGCATGCTAAAAGGGACACAGCGAAGTTCAGTTCTGCTTCTAACGTTGACTAAGAGATATTAAAAATGCAGCAAATGGACATTGGAAGCCATAGTATTTGTGGCGGTTTAATGACTTTCAGTACATTAAAAAAATATATTTTTTAAAAAATAAATCAGTACAGCCACGAGAAAACGGGATATTTACAATATTTAACAATATGTTAAAACCCTGCTGGTCAGGGTTATAAAAATGCCCCTTAAAACGAAATTAATGTATAATTTTAAGCCATACGGCCTTATTAAATGAAGAGGTGAATATTATTAGGTAAGAATAGAATAAGGCTAAATGTATATTATTAATTGTACCTAGCGACTTTAACAACGGCGTAACACTATATTATTTAATATTATTTTATTTTTGCAGGTATGACCGTGTTGATGATAACTGAATCCTGTTCCAAAACCGTGAAAGGCGGCAGTAAGAGCCAGTTTCTCGGGCGGTTTAAAAAGCTCGTCTCGTAACGCCCCAGGATTAAAGAGGAGCAATGCGATCAGCTGGAACAAATCGACGTGCTTCATGAGCTAGACGCGTCCTCTGACCTCGTATGAGTGCTTCCGAACTGGGTTTAGATTTAAAAAAAACAACAACTAGAGAACCGGTAAATTCTGAACCAGACGACATGCACACGCCTGTCTTTACTGAACACACTGCCAGCCTCTTTCAATGCAGTGACCGATAAGGGGGGCTTGACGGCCAGTTTAACTTTATTGCTGTCGGAGCCTGATTCTCAATTCGAGCATTTGCAGGAAACACTTTTCCAAGGCTCACACCGAAGCAGTACAGACCCCCCCCCCTTCTTCTTCTTCTTCTTCTTCTTCTTCTTCTTCTTCTTCTTCAAGCCCTGCCGGAAGTCGGCAGCTCTTCACCGCCACAAGGTCGGGCCCGGCGCTGTCTAGTCGTAATCCGCTCGTCTATGGTCGCATCCATCTTCGCGAAGCTGCGATCGTTTCCGGGTGGATCTGCCGCAATCCGGTTGCCTGTGGTACTGGCCGGGGGAGGGGGGTTCCCATAGAGATCCCCGAATCCGACCTCCGGAGCGATTTCCCCGCTCTCCTCCAGCGGCTTGGACGGCGCTCGCAGGCTTTCGGGGTCCCGCCGGCCGGGGCGCAGAGGGAAAGCGGCCATCGATCCGCTCGATCACCACCGGGCAGCGAGAGCGCCGATCATCTCCTCCCCCCCCCCAACCCGCAAACACACACCTTCCCATACCACCCCTCAACTCACACACACACACACACGCCGGCTTTGCGTTGAATACATCCTGTAGACCCGTAGTACTGGATTGTAAGACCGTTTTTCGTCAACATCCACGGCACCGGCGCCATCCCCATCCCCCCCCCTCCACCCGAGGATCCGTTCCGCCTCTCGCAGGGCCTGGACCCCGGGGGAGTCTCAGCGGGCTTCCCTGTCTCCGGATCAAGGGTTTCGCGGCCCACAGCGGGATGGGGGGGTTCGCCTGCAGTCAGTAGTTTCACGGCACCCCCGTCCCCCCTCTCCCCACTTTTCAAAACCTGAAACTCCAGACTGCGCGGGTTTCGCCACCGCCTCCGGAGGTGCTCGCCTCCCGCTCCGTCTCCTCACCGGGCTGATTACCCTGGCGATCCCTCTCCTCCTCCCTCTCCCCGCCGCCGCCGCCGTTCGCGTCCTGCAGCCTGGGTCCCCGCTCTGCCTGGCTCTCCGGGCTACGATCCCTGCCTGCCGTGAGCTCTCCGGACACTGCGCCCAGACCTCCCCGGAGAAGGTACCCGGCGGGAGCCGCCCGCCCTGCTCAGACGGCCCCCTCTCGGCTCCGATAACCGCCCGCTGTCCCTCGTTCGCAGCGGCTCCCCAGACCCCCTCGCCCCGGCTAGCCATGCCTGGCCCCGCGGCGGGCAGCAAGTCTCGGGTGTACGCCGACGTGAACACTCTGAAGAGCCGGGAGTACTGGGACTACGAGGCACATGTGCCCAGCTGGAGGTGAGGAAGGAAACTCGTGGGGGGAGAAAAAAAACAAAAACACGGGGGCGCCGGGGCGCCGAGACCCCGGGCGTTTTGGACGCGGTAGATAGCGCGCAGCAGCCGGCTTAGAAAGTTTCCATTTCAGCCTTTTTGCCAAGGCCTTCCAGTGCGGCTTCCTGAACCGCCGAGCATTTAAAATTGGACTCCGTGAATGCTTAATTCGTCGTCATACCTAAACTCTTGAATTGTTTCTTGGGGGGGACTGTAATACCGGCGCTGTAGAGGCAGCTAGACAAATAGAGCACAACGCACAGTCGGAATAATTTGGCACCTGATTTGTGCTGCCTAATCGATGGCAGAGGAATTCTCATCTCCATCAGGCCGTGAAGTTTCTTTGCTTGCCCGCAGTCCCCGGAAGACCAATTTTATTTATACCTCAGGAGCTGTGTGTGGGTTTGTTTCTGTCCGGTTTTATGGCTGTGAAATAATTGCCGCTCTTGAGCTTCCAAAAGTCACCGAAGACCACAGCTGAGCACAGAGCACAGGCGGTGTGGTCTTTTTGGAAGATTCTTTTTAAAAGTAGGTGGTTGCTGTTTTTTAAAAACGCGTTTAAACAAGGCATTGTTGATTAGCTTCTAATTTCTTTGTATACGTGGGGGGTATTCAATGTAAAAAAAACCCCACTTAAATGAATGAAATTTGTGATTTTCACTGGGAGATACTGGAATTAAGGAAGCACATTGTCCTTGTGTTGAATGGAGGACATTGCAAAGCACCAATGACTGTACCGGGAGCTCACAGCAGGTGTCTGGCTTTAGGCTGCCTGGGCCTGTTGTGTACTTCTCTGAGGTACAGTAGGGTGGCCTGAGGCAGGCCTGCATTGTTCACCTTTTTAGGGTTTTCCTTCCCTTTTTTCCCAGTCACTGACATCTGCTTTCTACGTTGATCGTTCCAGTGCAGTGATGAAGATTGTAAATAAAAGAGAGCCAGACGGAGACAAGCAGTCCCCGAAGTACCAAGTACCCACATACGTGTAGAGCGCTACTTTTGTGCCTGTAGTGTAGTCTCTCTGCACCAGCTGTTCTGTGTATTAGGCCCAGAACAGTGTGCCTGCTCTATCCATGTGGTTCGGGTCTGGTTCTTGTGTTACGTGATCACAAAGAGTGCTCATTTTAACATGGCAGTGGGCTTGCGAGATTTTGACCAGTCCACAAAGTTTTTGTGCAAAGGCACACAGAAAAAAAACAAAGCGCTGATCAGATGTCAGTGTGCTCCTTTCCATTTTGCTTCCTGACTCTCAGGAAGTCCTCCTGCTCAGCTGGGGCTTGGCAGTGTATAAAGAGTCGCGAGAATCCTGTGAGGGTCGCCTCTCCTGTGAAGTGTCCTGGATGTTTTGAGAATGTCAAACCAGAGAGCACTGGTGTTGATGAAGTGACAAAATTCTTCTCAGCGTGGGGTGGGTTAGCCTACTGCTACTTCGAAAGAAGAAAAGATGCTTTTTAAAGCGCAGATGACCAGATTTGCGGCCTAGTTCTGCAGTAAGTAGATATATTGACTTTTACAGGGACCCCATGTTGGTTTGAGGGCTTTGTGGATGTTGCTTTTTTGCCAAGAGCTGTGTGCATGGCGAATATATGTGTACAGTCGATATATTGATGGTGTGAGCTGTGACAGGGGTGCCTGATGAGTGGGAACTAGCACAGCGAGGAGAAGCTGCAGTTCAGTGAGCGTGCACGTGGTTCCTCAGCATTTGACTGCTCGGTCAGTGATGAGTTTCAGGTCTCAAGTGGCTCGTTTCACACATTAGAGCACAGGGGCAGTGTGGGTTTAAAAACACAAATGGTTGCATTTGTCTAGCAGCGAACAGCTTGAGTTTGCTTCATCAGGAGTATCTCATCGATAGAATGATTAAGAACATCATAAATATTAAAAGCAAGAGGCAGCCAATTTGACCCATGTAGCCCTTTATTTCATCCACAGATCTCATCCTTCTGTTTCTTGAAAGAAATCAAGATATCGCTTTCAACATCTTGGCTTGGTAGCTTGTTCTGGACTTCTACATAGTAAACGGGAGCCATCTACTACTATTAGTATCTGTACATCTTACTGAAGCATTTACTTATGAGTTGATAAGTAAATGCTGCAAACGGAGCTACAGTTTATGACCCAACTCGGCTTGTATTGCCTGTGGTCCCAGCCAGACTCTGGTTCTGTTGTTCGAAATGTGGCTTGCAACAGTTTTTGTATTATGCCTGGAGTGGAGTATGTATGAAGTCTGAAGTTGTGAAATAACGAGCGATAATATTAACCTTTGTGATTCCCCATGAATGTCGTCGCTTTGTGTTACCATGGGAACGCGTAGGAAGGAACTGGCCTGTGGAAGATGGCCACCACAGCCTGGTTCCGATCTAGCGTGCTGTGTACCAGTTCAGTGGGGACGGCAGTGTTCTAGGCAGCATCCAAAACCATTGCAACAAAATACCTGCCTTCTGTAAAAACTGGAAGCCGAGAAATGCTATACGCCGTTGCAACAATCCTAACTTGAATCGGATTGCTGTTATTTGATGTTTTTATAACCTACACTGCCACACAGTATCTCAGTAGCTCTGAGATTTGTGTCGGTTTCCAGAGATACTGGCGGTGCTGGGTTCCAGGGTCCTTTAATGAGATAAGGCAACACAATATAATTTGATCACCCAAAACAGAGTGATGCATTGATAACTGTATTTCTTTAAGCTTTTAAGACCGGAGTTGTGCAGAGCTTCACTGCTAGTTTGGCTTTGTGACAGCTTTTTGTAGAGTAAGTCTATTATTTAGATTACTACAGTATAAATCATTAGGCACGGATTATATTTATGTAGACCTTTTTTTCCCCCCCCCATTTGTCCTCGAATGAGTCGATTAGACTGAAGTTGATCATTAAACACCGCGGACTGTTTTTGCGGAATGTAATTTTTCTGGGATTTGCTTTAAATTAACATCAGGCTGCGCAAGATTGCTAACTGGGGTCTGCGACACCTCCCTGAGGTGCCATTAGTAAGTGCTGGCAAAAGCAGTGTAGAGCAGTCCGGATGAGGCAGTGGAGTAAAAGCGAGCCCCTTTGGCACATGGGGACCCCCCACCTGTGGTTCGCCCCCTGCTGGTGGGGACAGGTACAGCCCAGGTGGGAAGTGATCTTGCCGGCCCCGGTCTGCGTTCATCCCCACCTCTGCTTCCTCGCAGCAACCAGGACGAGTACCAGCTGGTGCGGAAGCTGGGCCGAGGGAAGTACAGTGAGGTGTTTGAGGCCATCAAGATCAGCAACAACGAGAAGGTGGTGGTGAAGATCCTGAAGGTGGGTGGTGCTGTTACTGTCTGTGTGTGTGTTTGTGTGTGTGGTTTTTGGAGCTTTGCACTCCTAACCGCAAGGGGCCAAATGGTTAAACTGGCCTCACTTTGTCAGTAATCTCCTGTGTGCCATTATGTAAATCTTGTTCGCTGATCCATATTTCACCCAGGAAAATCTGGGAAACTGATGTCTTTTCCTGCTCCTAAGATTAGATTCTTACATGGACAGCAAGACTGCACCTTCCTGTGCTTGCAGCTGAAATCACCGCTCCGCCTTTCGTGTTGAGATTTGCTTGGCAGAGTTGCATCTCCTTTTTACTTGCACTGTTGCAGAGTCGCAGTTTTGCTGCTGTCTGCCACCTGTCTCACAGTATCAGGAGGGAAATGTTAAAAAACTCCAGATGTCTCTAGCTGTTCCATCAGCTCGGCACTGCTGATGTCTTTACACAGCAGACATCATCCTGAATTTAATTAGATCCACACTGCTGCAGAGATTTTATATATATCACTCTTATCCACATGATCAATTCATGGATGGAAACAGTTTTCCGCCCTGGTGAAAAAAATGAAACGTACAGAGCAATATCTGCTCATTAAGTATGCTTACTTTTCTTAAGTTCAATGAGGTTGATGCGTACCCTCTGTGTGTTTAAATATATGCAGTATATTTATTTATTAATATTCTTGCTGGCTCTACAGATCTGATGAGGCCAAAAGCAGTAGAGACTCTGAGAAACAGGAGCTAGCAAACAGCTCGCTTTGTGTAGTCCCTGCACACTGCTGTTTGTAATCGTGTTTATGGGAGTGTCGGGGCCTTCCAGTGCAAACAGAGAACATCAAGGAACCGGATTAAATAAATGGACAAATAGACTTGTTGCGATAGTTTACGATGATGAATTTGAAAGCACTGGGAACGTCAGTTTAGCAGTTATTAAAAATGTATCTTCCTCTGCTTTAAATAAGGCCTGTGCCTTAAACTGTGTGAATCACAATCTGGGTCTGTTATTTCTTCTTTGATCCCGGTATGATGACCGGTGGACAGACAGACTGAAATTAAACTGGAGGGGTATTTGCACTTGCCTGTTTCTCATTATGCACCCTTCTGTCATGTGTTTGTCCCTTTGCTTTCCCCAATGGGTCACATCTGGTTATTGACGCTGATAATGGCAGCTGTCTTGATAGAAACCATCTTTACACTCTTCAGGATGTCCAATCAGATTGTAATTTACCAGGTACATTTTTAGCAGTAACTGTCCCATTAGCCTGGAATTTCTTAATGATGGACTTTGCAGTAGGAAGCCAGGTGTCTTATCAATTATTTTATAGCTCTGCTTGCTTGAGAGGGAATAATCTTTTGCTTTATATCTTCACACAGAAGATCTGATTTTCCCTGCCACGGTGTGCTGAGTGTTTTGGCTCTGTGTCAAGCCTTCTTTAATACACAATGACCATTGGAGTTTGCTCCTAATCTCCTGGGTTAACCTTTTAGCTGCTGAGCCCTAAAAAGACTCAGACCTGAAAATTAAGAGGTGCTAACACTCAAATAAAGCCACCCATCCTTACTTTTCCTGTTACCCGATGGAATAGGCACTGTAGATAAATATGTATATTATTTGCATACATGATTGTATTTATGCACCTGACATAATGTCTCTGAGATCTTTATGGATCAGCAGCTGAGACAGAAATGCCAAAACAGATTATTTGACCATTCTTTGTGTGTATTGAAATATTCTGTTCTCTCCCCTAACCAGTGAGCAGCCACTTTGTCATTGCTATCGAACAGTTAGTTTTTTTCCTAATTGTAAGAACAGTTTACTTGCTTTAAACTGTTTCAGTCAGAACTGATTAAGTAGAAAAATCTGAATCTTAAGTTACTGAACTCTGGCTTGGAGATCTGGTACATTTCTTTGTTCACTGTTCTCAGATATGTCCTAATGCATGAAACCAGGGACGTAAGTGTAGCGTCTCCAATATCGCTAGGATCAGCACATGATTGTTTTCAAAGCAGCCTTTTTCACCACATGGGTTTTCAGTATGGATCACATGCCGAGTCTCAGCAAGATACAGCCTTTTTGCTGTGACAGGCGTACTTGCTTTAATCTGCACAATTCAGGGGTCACTGAGTAACTGTGTTCTTGGTGAATATTGTTACCAGCTTTTTAGAATTTAAATCTTAAAAAAAGAATTGTTTTAAAGTAGTAGCAAAGGCAAGACGGACTCTGAAGTTGAGTTCGGTCCACACCATGGACACCTCTGTTGTATCTTTGAGTTGCTGTCTTACCCAGGAGGCATCTGTCCATCCAGATTCATAAATGGGAACCAGCATATCCATCTGGAACCTTGCAATTTCATATCCAAGGGGGAGATGTGTTCTCTGTTGGACCTGACTAAACAGTGGCTATTTCAAAATACTCGCTGTTCAGTTTGTCCGCCTGTAATAATGAGTTTTTTGCTTGACAAAAAGGGGCTTTGTAGGCACTGCACTGTTTTTATAAGAGGCTATAAGCCTTAACAGATTTATCTGTTAACGCATTACACCCGTGGCACTTGAAAAATTCCTTTTCTCCAAATCGCAGGCCCAGCTCTCAGCAGTAATCTGCCGTCTCCTTTAGCCCCTTGGCGAAAAGGTCCTGTGTTGTGCAGAAAGAAAAAGAGCAGGAGCTGTGTCCCTCCCATGCGATGTTGTCTCATTCCCGAGAGGCTCACTTTGACTCGCCTCCGCCTGTCTCCCCCCACCCTGTAGCCCGTCAAGAAGAAGAAGATTAAGCGTGAGATTAAGATCTTGGAGAATCTGCGGGGCGGAACCAACATCATCCGGCTGGTGGACACTGTGAAGGATCCTGTGGTGAGTGGCCAGCGCACCACACTGCCAGAGCCAGTCCAGTTTGCAATAAGGCCTTAAAGCCTTCCGTAAGACCTCTGTAGTCCAGTGGAAGGAGATCTGATAGTCGAGCTGCATTAGGTGCAGGACTTAAAAGAAAAGTCGTTATTTTTGTGTCATAACATAAACATAATCACTAGAAATGTTTGTTGCTGTTACGGTCTGAGGGTCTTTTTTCTAGGAGATCGTAAGTTAAGATTAGTCCAGCAATAATGAGAAATTGGAAGCAACACTGTGACAAAAATGTAGCAGTCTGTTCTGTTCACTAAACTATTGATAATCACAATTAGTGAGTGGCACGTGCGTGCACTGAAATTAGCCATAGCGTGAGAAATGGCACCGGGCACATGGGAGTAACCAGGGACACCTCTGACCACCACACTACGGCTTGTGATTTTTGGTGGTAACTAATTTCCACGAAAAAAGTCATTACCGCCAGATGAAAAGTTGTGATGCAGCACAAAGTGTCATACTTGGGGAAAATGACAAAAGACCACACTCGAGTTCCCAGGTCCTGCCTGGTTTCTTTCCAGGCGCACGTGGTGGGCCTGACCCTCTCCTCGGGGGGGTATTTGGTGATGTCATTGGCATCATTATATGTAAATTGATCCAACATGTGCCTTTTCCAATTGATCATTCTTGGTTTGTTTTACAGTAATTATTTTGTTTTTCTAATTTGGCTTTGGTGTTCACCTATCCAAATGGTTTTAATTTATTGTTTCTCCTCTTTTCGGTTTCTCTTCAGTCCCGAACACCAGCGCTGGTCTTTGAATACATCAATAATACAGACTTTAAGGTAGCTATTCTTGAGTTTTTGGTGATTTTTCATAAGATGAGTGTTCTAACTGCCTCGCTGTTTTTGTCTTCCCTTTCCTAACAGTTCTTATTTCTTTGCTGCTTAGCATTTGTGTCGGCAAAACTGTAATAGTTTAGTTAAAAATTAAAATCTCTTGGATTCGTGAAAATGATGTGATTTGGATTAAACTTTGTAATCACCATGTCAATTAAAATGTATGTTCTTCTCCCAAGACGAGCTTTAACTATACAGCAGACCTTTTTTTTTGTACAAATGAGTTCCATTAAGCACAGTAGGTGTGTTCATTGTGATATTTTCCTAATTAAGTGTAACATTTATTAAAAAGAAATTTGATAGTTTTTATAATGTTTTCATCAGATAATAGAAATAATTTGCAGTTAGTAGAATATGTAGTGTAATCAGAATACTGGGTTCGTTTTCTTTTCAAACAACAGCTCTTCCTTCATTATTGTGCTGATAATGCTTCATGGTGCACTGTATTCACTTTCCTGCTGGTCATATTAATAAGCCCCACTGGGTGATGAGATCTGGATCTCCTCAATGGATATCCTCCTTTGGAGTGTGACACTTTTCTCATCACCAGCATCCTTCCTAGGTTCCCAGGTTCCTCAAGCTGTTGGTTTCTTTGTGTCCCTGTCTCTATTACAGTGCAGGCAAATATTGATCCCTCACATCCCGTTTTTTTTCCATCCTCTCCGCAGGAACTGTACCAGAAGTTGACCGATTTTGACATCCGTTACTACATGTACGAGCTGCTGAAGGTAAGGAGACCAGGGCCAGGCCCGCTGATCCGCTGCATTCGGAAACTTTCTAGTTCTGACCAGTGTAGTGACCCAAACATCGTGTGACTTAAAAGGCATGAGTTGTTTTCACGAAGCTAAAGAAAACAGTAGGAAATGGAAAAGTGGTGCCCATTATGAGGAATCACTGGCGTGGGGGGGTGTCATGGCCAGATTTCCCATTAGCCCTTATCAACCATGGCCTCCTAATAATCCCCATCTCTGAACTGGCTTCATCACTCTGCTCTCCTCCCCACTGAGAGCTGGTGTGTGGGGAGCGAACTGGCGCATCATCCAGGTGGGGCTGCACGTTGGTGGTGGAGGGGAGTCCCCATTACCTGTAAAGCGCTTTCAGTGGAGTGTCCAGAAAAAGGCTATATAAGTGTAAGGAATTATTATTATAGATGATGGTGGAAAGAAGCCTTAGGAGAGACTTTGATGTTGATGCTGCCCTCTGCTGGCAGTGGCCTGCCAGCTGGTGTTGGGGCCCACACTGTACATGCAGATGCTTTGTACACTTCTGACCAGTTGATGAATTTGTGTGATGCTCCTTGGCTGTGTGAAAGGTTTCACAGATCCGAGAGCCTGGTGCACAGTTGTACTATGAACTACTGTACAGCGACCTGTTCCACACCCTTTAGGTGCCTTCAGTCATACTCTGCTGGCACCTCCTGTACTGTTTTGAAGTAACGTGCCTCTGCGTTCCTGTCTGACCTCCAGGCTCTTGACTACTGTCACAGCATGGGGATCATGCACCGGGACGTCAAGCCCCACAACGTGATGATTGACCACCAGATGAGGAAGGTAGGGCCACCTGCAGGGCTTTCGAAGGGATGGGCCCCGGAGCCCCTAGGGGCATCCTCGTGTCTGGAACCTGGCTTGTTTTGGTCTCAAAATGTTGCTTAAACAGTGTTTGGTGCTGCAAAGGGCCCCGAGTGAGGCTGGGTGTTGTTGTTTCAGCTCCGCCTGATAGACTGGGGGCTGGCAGAGTTTTACCACCCTGCGCAGGAGTACAACGTTCGGGTGGCATCACGCTATTTCAAGGGGCCTGAGCTGCTGGTGGATTACCAGGTGGGTCTTGTTTATTTTATTTGCTTAGCAGAGTTCCTTATTTACTTGTTGCACTATAAGAAGTGTTAAAGTTAAGTCAGGAGAAGGGGGTTAGAGTTGAGGACCGTAAGACCACAGGTGGAATACTTTTGACAGATTGGCTACCACGTTACTGGAAGAACAGTGGAAGAACAGTTTTTCAACAGAGTTTGAGTAATGGGGACAGTTAAATGAAAAACAATAGTATCCGTAAGATTGGTTAATAAAAAACTTTCACCATCGCTGAGATTAAACCATGCTAGTTCTCCGAGTGCTAAAAGGTAAGTCCGGCCCACTTTAGGGGCTAACGCCCGCTGATGAGGCTAGGGCTCAGAGCGCGTGTCAAAGTGAGCTCCTGTCCTCCCTCTCCCCCAGATGTATGACTACAGTCTGGACATGTGGAGTCTCGGTTGCATGCTAGCCAGCATGATCTTCCAGAAGGAGCCTTTCTTCCACGGCCAGGACAACTACGACCAGGTGATCCGCGCGTTCCTCCTGCCAGCCAGCCCAGGGGGGCAGAGCGAGGGTTCTGAAGGAAGGGCGCTGGAGTGGAATGCCATGCTTGACATCTGTCAAACTGAAGTGGAATAGTTTTCAGCCCTTTTCTATGAAACCAGTTGCCAAGATCTTAACTGTTGAAAGAGTCATGACAGGTCTTTCACTTAAATGGGTCACACAGGATTTGAAATGCGCTATTTAAACACTTCCTTTCACACACAGAAGAATCTAGATATGTGCAGCAGCACAGTAATACAGTATACTGATCCCAAAATATATTCCTGTATGACTCATTTTGGATCTGAATTACTACACTCATCCCTGCTATTACAATACTCTTTTTTTTTTTCCCCATCCATGAAATGTAACATAATTATATCTCCATTATTAAGAATTAAAGCATAATTTCTCATAAAAAAGGAAGACTCTGTGAGGTGGGATAGTTCATGCTTTTTGTTTCCCACACCTGTTTTTGTCCTTGGGGTTGCAGCTGGTCCGCATTGCCAAGGTTCTGGGAACAGACGAGCTGTTTGGTTACCTGCGGAAGTACCACATAGAGCTGGACCCACGCTTCAAGGATCTGCTGGGCCAGTGAGTTCTGCGTCATACAGGTCTCTGTAGTCCAGCCCCCAGAGCTGCTGGGCTGGACTGAGTGTGCTTTTCATCAGGGGGCTTGTGTGTCAGGTGTGGGCATGCAGGTAGCAGACAGAGCAGCAAGCAAGCGCTGCAGGTTCAGTGCCAGTGCAAACAGAGGCACTGAACCCAATAGATGTGTTTCATAGGATGTGCATGTCTTCTTCATCTCTGATGGGCTGTTCTGGGGCTGATGGCAGTCCCTGCTGATTGGGCGAGAATAAGGGAGTGGGCTATAGTTTACCCCTGCGATTTCTATCCATTGTGTTATGGAATGGTGCATTGACAATTTACAGGAAAGTGCAGGTTTGTGCTGGTGTTCCTCCAGCGATCATGAGAATACAGCAGAGTCCAGCTCCTTGACTGTAATGCAGTACCTCCTGGAGTGAAGAAAGTCTGTTTTTTTTTTTCTTAATGGTCAATCCATCCAGGCATTGTAACTTTTGCAATCAGTCTGTCTCTTGAATCTGCTGCTTGAGTTTCATGTTTTCTCAGCCAGTGTCTGTAGCACTGAGTTTCGTTTGACCAGAAACCTTTATTCCCTCATGGCTGCTGCGCTCCCTGTCCTAGTATAGGAATGTACTTGTCCTCTTGATCCAGAAAGCTCGGGCGTAGGTAGACAATTTTAATCGTTATTCATTATTATTTAAAAAAAATAATGCTGGTTTTTACATTTCTTCTGACTTGCAGGCAGACGCGCAAGCGCTGGGAGCAGTTTGTCCAGTCGGAAAACCAGCACCTTGTGAGCCCAGAGGCCCTCGACTTGCTGGACAAGCTGCTGCGCTACGACCATCAACAGAGGCTGACGGCCACAGAGGCCATGGCTCACCCTTACTTCTGTGAGTCCGGCCTCTGGGGCCTCCGTCCACTCGCCTCCTGCTTTCCGCAGCCAAGGCCTATCCCAGGGGTCTTCAGCCTTTTTGACGTGCCCCCCGACCCCTAACTATTGGAGGAAACGATGCGAACACCCTCTTCACACTCGCTCGCATACTTTAACGGTTTCACGTTCACCGCTGTTCTTAAGTTTAGCAGTGAGCGTCCGGTCTGTTTTTAGGTCAATCATGGTATTATGCGAAGTCTCAAGTCTGCTGTAGCCTTCGCCGACGAGACTAGATGGCAGGTGCCTGCTTAGCCAGGTATATGAGCCAGATTGCAACACCCCCCTCTAGTGGATGAATAATGAGTTGCTATTAATGACTGAAACAACATGTTCACTGCAGTTGTTTTATTCTTAGCCCGTCTTTGGCCCGATATCTGGGATTGTTCATTAATTTTTTGGACTTCAACATTTGGGAATGCGACTATCACTCCATAACTAGCAGAGAGGCAAAGTGAGGCTCTGAGATAAGTGTGCAGTAGGCTTCCAGGCCTCCGAGCGTAATTCTAAACCCTTCAGAAAGACCTCATGGGTTGAGCAATGTTGATGACTAAGACATCTTGCCAACTTCTACAGTGAAACTGGTGTCACTTTTTTGGCAACCTGGGGAGGTGTTGTTTCTAGTGCTGCAAGTTTTTTTGCTCATTGCTGCCTTAGTTTTCTGTCCCCCCCTCCCCCCCACCTCCAGCCATGTGACGCGAGCGGAGAAGGAATTTCTGTGGTCTCCTGCCTGTCCTCACGGAGTCTGACTCACAGAGGTGCCACTGTTCTCTCGCTCGCAGTGCGGCGACGTAACGCCCTTTCTAAGCTTTGCAGAAGACGGTCTCCTAACATGCAGACAGATGGCCGGTAGCTGGTGAGAAGACCGCCTGGTTTGTGGGAAGGCCTCCTCTCATCATCTGTTGCTATGGTTTTGCAGTTTAAGCCTGACGGTTTCTCACACTTTGTCAGAATTACCAGAGCATGTTGGGTTAACCGAATATTTAGAGCTGTTGGTTGAAGGACAGAAAGCTTCTCCTTCTCAGTCTCTGCAAGGTTGCAGTTTCTGTATCTGCTACAGAGAACATACTTGGCAGCTCTACCAGCCTAGTTCAAATCTGCGGTTTTGCACCGAAAGCCTGCAACAGGCGTTTTTGACTGTTTTAATTGAAAGTGCTGGTTTTGAAGAATCAACCTTATTATTTTGAATAATGGACAAGCGATTTCAATGTCTATTTCCAAATTTGTAAAGTTGAAACATTTCTTTTATGGACAAGACCTTGTCTTGCATAAGAACACAAAGACAGCAACTGGAGTGCAGCAGTGCAAGAGCTCGGAGTTGATCCTTTGTTCATCCTGACAAGCTTGTTTCAGTGGTTGGTAGTGGGAAGCAGGATGAGCAGAGCAAACCCATTTTTTTTTAACAGTGTGCCTCAGACTGGATGAGGTGGTGGGGGGCAGGGAAGGACAGAAGCCCTTCAGTTCTGTCTGCTCTTTGTAAGGCGTTCTCGTGCCCAGGCTGTCTGTGGCTCAGGAGTGAGACTTGTGTGTGTTGTGATGCTGAGCGCCGTCTCTCCCTCTAGACCCTGTGGTGAAGGAGCAGTCTCTGGCCAACAGTGACGGCAGCCTCGTGTCCAGCGGGTCCACTGCTGCCCGGTGAGACAGCAGGTACTGAAGCACACGTCCCTCGTGTCTGCGCCGGTCCTAGAAACCTAACCCCTTAGTGAATTCCTTTCACTGCCTGCTCCAAAAGGAAATATCTAGCCAAAAGAGAAACTGTTTTTGAAAAACAGCTCTTGTCTTGAGTATCACAGAGCGGTAAGTCAGTATTAGTACATTTCTGTTGTAGAGAGTTGGTGCTAGGTGAAGGACAGATTGCCTTCTCTGTCAGTACCCCCAGGAGCTTGACTCAGTCAGGTCCACAGAGATTAGTTTAGCAACACCTGTCAATTGTGCAACACCCCCTCCTTGGAATTCCTGTGGCACGGCCTGGATTTGAACTGGCAGTCTCCAATTTGTAGGGCATATCCTGTATTTTGGACTAACGGTTTGACCCAGTGAGCCACTGAAGAATTGTAAGGCCCAAGACAGCCATGCCTTTATCTTTTTATCACCAGTGATCTTATTTGGCCATGGCTGGAGCGCACCACAGTTTAATTACCTGATTGCAGCACTGAGTGCTTAATGTTGTATGTAAACATTTACAGAGCTTTAGAGTTCCCTTCTGGTAGTATCTTTAAAACTTGGCATGTGAAGGGGAGGTTGTAGCCTTTGAATGCCAGTAGAGGGCAGTGTTGACTATAGAGAGCATTCTTGTTATTTCCTATAGGTATACAAGGTGCTTAGAAAATGATTTGGTCAAGCAGATGTGTTGTGAAAACTGCCTAGAGATACAATATTCTGCACAAGAAGGACTGGAATCACGTTACTATAGGCTCCATGTGTCGCCATTATGACTTTTCCTGCGTCCTGTGTTGGGCTGGTAAGATAGTTTCCCCCAGCTCTGCTGCCATCGGGTCGCAGATGTCACATGCTGGGGCCTTAAACCCCGCTGACCTCGGACACTTGCTGCTGTCCACACCGCGCAGCGGCCCTTGAGTCTTGAGCGTGAAGGCAGAGAGGAAGCTTGGCTCCCCTTGACTGGTCTCGTGTGTCTTTTCCTTCCAGGACCGGATTTTGTTACCTCACTACTTTCCCTCCCTCCCCCCCGGTGGCAAGAAACCTCGCAAGTGTACAGCGGCAGGACGACCGGCGCTAAGCAACCGCAGACAGGAACCGGACGGCCTGTCCTTCAGCCTCCCGGGCCCGCCGGCCAGGCCAGGCCACGCTCGCCCGCGCCGCCGGCTCGCCGCGGCCACCGCGCCGCGAAACCACACCCGAAAGCTCCTCCGTCAGACACGGGACCCGGCCCACTGTCCCACCCTCCTGCCCTCCAGCTCCCCCCCTCCCCCAGAAATACAAGCATGGAGAATGAAGTACAGAAAGAGAGGACTAGTGTGACCCCATCCCCCTCCCTGTCGTTTCTTATTAAATATTATACCTGAATTGCCCTGCGAAGGTCAGGTGACTCCAGAATTGTAGTACTGATTGAAGTGGCATGGTGGACCTAATTTTGCTCTAGGATAATAATAAATGATTTTTATTTAGATTTATGTGTGTTTGATCAGTGTGTCCTGGGTCGAGCTCTCCGCGTGTCAGACTTGCGAAAGGGTGTAATTTCCAGGTTTCTCTCTCTTTACCTCCAGTTGTGGTCACACAGTTGTACTCGTACTGGCCAGGCCCCGTCGCCTGTAGGAAGACCTGGCCGCCGACTGGGCGCTGTCCCGGGACGCAGGCTGCTGTCTGGAGCGGTGTTGGAGAGAGCGTGTGGCCTATGCTCTCAAGACTACAGTGCGGTCTGCTCCTGAAGTGAGCCGGCTTATTCAAACAGTGGTCGATGAGCGATAATGAAAACAAGTGGTTTCCAAAAGTTAAACCAAAGAACACAAGTGAGAGTGGACATGTTGCTCTTTCTTCCCTAGTTAACGTCCTGGGTACAGAACATTCCTGTTTACTTTCCTGCCGTTAACTTCGGGACACCCCTGGGTCATTTATGGTAAATGGCGTTTAGCTTTCTTAACCAGCTCATTTCTTTGAGAGGAAAAGGTTTCGTGTTGGGCTAGGGCGGGGCTCTCGGGGCTGGTGCTCAAGGTCAGTTGTCCGGCAGATTTTTTGTCCTGCACAAGACTTCAGGGTTGAAAGAACTCGGCGGAGACTTTATTGGACCCATTTAGCTTTCCTGCACGGGTCACGGCCTGGACCTGTGCAGCGCTGTGTTAAAAGGCTTCCGGAACAGGGCGGTATAGTGCTGGTGTCTGCAAGCAGTCACGGATCAATTGCACATTGGGAGCCGTTGCTTTCTCGGGACCTAGAAAACCTGCAGACCCACTGTCTCTAAAGAGCCAGGACTGCACGTCCTCGTTCACGAAGATCCTTTGGTGAAGCCATGAGCAACCCACAGTGCCAGGAAGGTAGAGCTCAACAAGCCTGTCTCCACAGCCACACTTTAAAACCCCATCCCTCTGCCCGATGCCTGGACAGGTAACATCCATCGGGCTGGCCCAATCCAATACCTTACAACCAAGCGATCTTATAATAAACAGAACATCTATTGTGCTCAATAGCTATATGCGGGTGTTAACTTTTCTCCTGTAATAAACCATGTGAATTTGACCTAAGTGGGGGGAAAAAGAAGGTCAATACTTGAATTTATAAGAAGATGGGCACTACACATACTGAGATGAACACCACTGGTGTCCACTCAGCTTTGGGAGTGTACTGCACAACCTTGGATGTGTCAAGTTACCCTTTATACATACTTGTGCTAGTGAGCTCAATTAATGTGTACAGTCCAATGCCTCACAGTGCAGTTATCTGAATAGACTGACATTGAAAATTGACTACATAATCGATTGCATGAAAAGCATTAGGAGAACGTGAAGAGATTCTCAAGGTCAGGCCTATGCATTTTCAGTACTACAATGGGCATGAAGCCTGTGGTAATGTTGACAATCACGGTGCAATACAAAATAAAGTTCTAATTTATGTATTAACAGTCATTAAAGTCTTACAGTAACTCCCTAACTGTGTGTTCTCGAGAGTCTCTGAAAGTCTACAACATCTGATGTGAAATTAAAGTTGTCAAGTTTGGACTTGATCTGTAACACGTTTTCTTTTGAGGAATTTATTTGGTTTCTACCCCCAGTAAAGAGCTTTGTACAGGATAGTGGATAACTATAGATTTTTTTTGTCAGTTGTTTGTATCTGAGGTAATGTCACCTGATCATCATCTCTACTGTATTTTTGAGTTATGCATTCTTTCTGCTTCGTAGTGGTTTAGTAATTATTTTGTATTAAGTTTTGCAAAACCTGTGCTAATTACAATTGTTCAGTGTTACACAAAGCTGTTTGATAATATTATCTATTTATATATAGTATATGGTCAACCAAATGTATAATAATGCTAAAATTTCTTTATTCCATTCCAAAATAAAACGGATTAATTAGAAAACCGTGTGCTAAAGATCTTACATTATGTGTCAGTTTTAGGAAAAATGCTTCATGCTTACTGCTAAAAACCTCTTTGGTGGACACTGAAACTGAGGCATGGTATCGTACCTTACAACTGTGAGCACTCTATATGGTGTGTGTGGTTGCCATTGCAACAATAATGAAGAAACCGCCAGCTATTAATTACAAAGCCTTTCTGCCAGTGTTATCGAGAGGGTGCAGTATGTGCTTTGGTGTAATCGAGTCACGGCTTCATCCCAAGCTTTCTTGTTTCCAGTAGAACTCTGTGTTCAGGAAGTGACACGGTCAAGCCACTAGCCCACTGCACCTGGGATTCCAGGTAACTGGGCCAGCTGGAGTAAAGTACCGCTGTCGAGGTACAACAGCAGTGTGTCCTGCTGCGACTTTACTCCCCCCGCGGCTCCCAGTCATGAGTCCTAAAGCACCCCCTCTGCAAAATGCTGCCCCCAATGTGGAAGTACAAAACACATGATCATTTTTATCAGGAGGCTTCACTACTGAGAGGTTTAATGATTTAGAATAACCTGCTGTTTGTAGGTATGTTTACATTCAAAGTCAAACCATTCAGTCCATCAGCAGCAACCATCGGACCAGTGCTTGTGTTGCCCTTCAGAGGATGCTGTTGAATGGGACTGTGCTATCTAGGGATCTACAGTAGGTGCTATTTGATAGGGAGCCTAATTTATCCCTCTAGAGTGTCAGTGAGTTCCCTTTCAACAATGCCGAAGGTTATCTGTGCCCTGTGCAATCTCTCCTCAGGACGCTCATTAGATGTTTTCCTCTCAACAAAAGCCACCAGTTCACTTTCCATCACAAGTCACCCTAAACCCCTGGCATTGTCATGTGCACTCAAGGCACGTTACACACCTTTGCCTTTCAAAATAAGGGTGAATTTGGACTGAGATCCTCTGAGGCCCACAGACTCATGAACCCTGCAGACTGCACACAAATCTAATACCAGATATGTGCTTGCACGATGGCAATAAAACTGAACTTTTTCACGTTTTCCATAACGCTGCAGTGAACCTCATCACAATGGACTATGAGAAATCAATTATATATATATATATGTCTCAATCTTTGCTGTAATGCAGCGTATGTGTAAGAATTCATAGAACTAATGTCTGAAAATGAAACTGCAAGTCCCATAATCCTCCCCTATTAAGATGGAAGATCACAGGAAGGGAAATGTAGTCCTTTGGATGCGGGAGGCTGACAGCTTTTTTTTGTTGCTTTTGCATGATGGCTGTTCTTATCATTCTTCACGCCTTCTTCGTGGACAGTTCAGTCCTTCTAAACTGTTATGAAGTGGTACAATCTGTCTTGGCCATATTCAGACCAGAAATGCAAGCCCATGGATGTGAAAAACTTGTCTTAAACTTGACTCTTGATAAAATATGCCATATTTTGTTTTTTACTGCTTTGAAACTAACATACTTGTTTCGTTTGTAATCTTAAAGATATTTTGACTGGACACATTTAACTTGCCCGTTTATAAAATGAGATAAAAGGTCATAAAGCAACAATGGACTATTGTAAAACTGCAATTTTATTACCACTAACTCTACATAAAATAAAGCTGCTGTCTATCTTGTATTCACATCACTCTTGTACATCACCCTAGCCTTCGAACACCGGAGTTAAAATGACAGCTGTCAGGTAAGCCAACACCTTTCACTTTTGACCCGAGTTGCATCAATGTTATGTAAGAAAGGTGATTGTGGGGTAAAATGTTTCTTTAATGTCTCTTTGCCAAGGTCTCCAGTGAGACACTAACATTTTGCATTTGCCAAAATTGGTCACATGAAACCTGGAGTTGTCCTGGGTGTCAATTAACTATGTCACAGCCCCTGTGATTGTTACTGCTTGTATTTGTTCTTCATTCACTCACTTGATCAATGTTGTTTGTTTAGTCCCAGTCCTACCTGACATGCCATTGACTGATTCATAGAGAAAGTAAAAGTTCTCTTGTACGTCCAGAAATTTGTCTGATTTTGTTTGCGTGAGATGAGCAGCATTAAAAACAAAGAAAAGACATGCTCTACCATCATATCATGAAAACCGAAGTTTTCAAAAGCACTTGCTCTTTGAGAAATTCAGAGGGAATGAGAGCACTGAGCTATATGTCTATGTTGTGTGTATTTATACAGTTTCTGTTGATCCCTTTGGCTGTTCCCTATCCTTGTTCTTTAACGTTGCAGACACATAGTTTGTTTACCAGCTGGCTGCAGGCTTGTAAATCAATAAGCAGACAGGTGTATTGACTTCCTTTAACTCTGAAACCATATCCTGGCCTTCCTATCCAAGAACCTGACTTCTACTGGGTGTCACAGCCTTAACAAGAGCTCCCAATGAATTTTTTACCACGTTCTCACTAATCCGCTTGCTGGTACCTGTTCAGTGTAGTTAAGAAAAGGTGCCTGTTGCCTTTTGTTTGCAGAGCTATGGCTGTGATTTGTAAAGGCAGAGTGTGTTTTCTAAGGAGACCTAGATTAATCCCACGTGTCCTTCTGAGCATTCGAAGACCAGGTACGAAGAGAGCTGGCCTTTTTTGATAAAGTGGGTTTGGCGTATGCTTGGGCCACGTCGATTGAAGAGACAGACAGGTTGCAGAGATATCCGTGTGTCCCAGCTGTACTGTATGTGCCACAGGCCTGTCAAGGCTCAGGTAATCTGACTGATGGCTGTTAGTGGCTGGGTTTGTGGTCTGGGTGTTGAGGACAGTGGACAGCAGCCTCTCTTGTTGGGAGAAAGAAGGCTGCAACGTTGCCCATGGCTGCTCTCGCTGGTTGAGGTCTTGCCGGGGGAGGATAAGAAAAACATAATGGCTGGGTCATTCCTTGTCCAGCTCGTAACTGGACCGTGGTGCAACTTAGCTCCGCAGGCAGCTGTCCAGAGGTGCTGACTGTCAGGAGGAGTTACTGTCGGCAGTCAGACACATCTGACAGTTTATAACCAGTTTCCAGGCCAAACAGGGACATATAAACACCACAAGGAACCATCAAGAACACACTGAGCTTTATTTAGGGATTTGATTTACAACACATCGTTTTGCTTTGAGAAGAACAAACATGATACTGTA